GTTTGGTGGTCTTCCTGCTGCTCTTCCAGGCGAGAGCTCTTGAAGAAAGCTCTGAGGATGGAAAAAGAAGAGGATGAGGCAGTTCCTGGGTAAAAATCAGCAAAGCCAGGTCCCTTCCTGACAGAGATCCAGCCCCCTTCTCCTTTCTACCCCTCTCCAAGCACCCACCCCCTTTCCCCGAGGCTGGGGCTGCGAACCCCAAACCCCAAACGGCATCTTCCACCAATGCCAAATATCCCAATTCCCAGATGTTTTCCCCCCAAAACCAGAGCGGGGCTGGCCCAGGACCAGTTTGCTGCCCTTCCCGAGGCAGGGCTCACTCCCACAGCCCATCGTGCCGCGAGGAGAGGGGCTCCCCGGGCACCCGGCGGGGTGCGGAGGGGCGCGGGGCTCACCTGGGATGCGGGAGGGCCGCACGGGTCTCCGGCTGCTGCTCGGGACTTGGGCAACGCGGCTCTGGGGCCCACCCAGGGAGGGGAGAGCAGCGCTGCGAAAGGGAAAAGGGCCGTTTTAAACCCCCGAAGCTCGGGATGGAGGCCCCCCCACCCTGTCCCCAGATGTCACGGGCGAGGCAAAGCCGATGCAGGCAGGGATGGGGGCTCAAGCCCCAGGAGGGAGCCCAGGCAGGAGCTGCCAGCCCTCGCTGCCTGCACGGAGCGCCCTGGGGCACGGGGTGCCTGCGGCTGCCTCACCTCTCCGCTTGCTTCCGCTTCTGCACGGGTGCTTGGGAGCTGGAGAAGGGCTTGGGGGTGGAGGAACCCCTCGCAGCAAACACCGGGATGCAGGTTCTGCAGGTGAGGAAGAGGGGGTCAGTGCCAGGGCTGGATCCTGACCGCCCGCTTCAACGAGGCTGGGAGGCGGCCAGGCCACCCGCGGGGAACAGAAGTCACAGTTTTGCAGGGGAAAATGGTTCAAACACAGATAAGTCCCCAGGAGCTGCACACAGGAGGTGGCAGCCACCCGGGTATTGCTGCTCCCTGGCTGGGCTGTTTCCCTGTACCTCAGTTTCCCCAGTTACCCTCCATAGGAACTCCTTCCTAGAGCTACAGGAGGAGAAGGGAGACTTAAGGGAGTCCTGCATTACTAATGGTGTGCCAAGCTCTGGTTTTGGGTGCTCACACGAATTCATGCAACTCTGTGAAATCCAGAGCCTCTTTGAAGCACCAGCATTAAAAACCAAACCAAAACAAAACCAAACCAAACCAAAACCAAAAACAACCAAACAAAAAAAAAAACCACACCCAAAAAACCCCCCACTGCGCTGTCCTGACCCTCGCTCCAGCCTCTCTGGGAGGAGAGACGATGCCCCACCTGCTTCCCAACCAGCACGTGGGGCTTCAGAAGCCATCTGGAGGATGCTTCTCCATGTCCAAAGGGAAAAGGAGAGAGATTTTCTTGGAATGCTTTTTATATCCTCACAAGCGATTCACACATGAGCTCGGCCCGCTGGCTGCCCGTCTGCAGGCCACGTGTCTTCTGCCCACAAAGGATCCCCCCAGACAGCAAGACCATGGAGGGGGGCTTCCCAAAAACACTATTGACCCATCCTGGGCAGCACTTACTTGGGTATGAAGGGGCCATCCTGCTTGTTTAGGATGCCCTGGACATTGTCCCAGACGGGGACTTCAGGCTCGATGTAGGCAGCTGGGTCGATCACGTCGCACGGGCTGGTGACCTGGCAGACCTCAAAAGTCACATTCAGGGCGTGGACGGGGGCGGCAGGCAGGGTGCTGGTGTTCTGGGCAGCCAGCAAGGCCAGTGGCACAGGGCTTTTGAGGAGTGTCAGTGGGCAGGTTTTGGGGGTGCTGGACGATGGCACCGGGGAGACAGGGGGTGCCTGAGGTGCTGCTTTGAGACAGGGGGTGCTCGAGGTCTGCGGTGTCCCGGGAGCCTCTGCTGCTTTCCCACGTCTCCGCTGGCGTTTCATTTGTGCTCTGAGGCTGCGGGGAGTTCCCAGCCGAGCAGCGCGTGTCGTCTCCAGTTTCCTCCTCTTCTTCATCGGGCTGGGAGCCGCCAGGGTGGAGTGGGAAAGCGGAGTGAGCTGCTGCAAGCACTGCGGGGCGGTGCTCGTCCCAGGGGCGCTGGGCACGGCGACAGATGCCTCTGCTAAAGGAGCAAAGAAACAGTCACCTCCCTGCCTGCAGTTCCCAGGCACCCCTAAACCCCACAGGTTCCTCTCTGCCCCCCACCTCAGCTCAGATCTGCCCAGAGAACTCAACAGCAGCCACTTGCATCAAGCCACACTAAACGCAGAGGAGAAGAGCCAGCACAAACCATCCTGCGCCTTGCCAGCCTGAAGGCACCGGGCTGGTCCCAAAGCAAGTGCCCCGTGGCCATGCCTGGGCCATCCCCGGAAAATGGGGTCTGCTGAGCCCACAGCTTCGCTCTCAGGTTCGTGCATTGGCCCCGAGGCTGAGGAGGAAGAGCTCGGCCCTGGGCAGACACAGGCTGCCAGCTGGGAGGCTACAGCACGGCTGACTTGGGCAAATGTACCACGGAGGAGTAAACAAGATGAGGAAAAAAAAAAAAA